AATATATTAAGTATGTATATTAATAAAATATATGTATATAATTCATCGGTTCGGTTCGGTTATTTCTTCGGTTTTTTCGAATAAAACCATAACCAAACCAAATACTATCGGTTTTCAAAAATCTAAAACCAAACCAAACCAAACCCAAATAAAATCGGTTTTATTTTATCGGTTTGGTTTGGTTTTTCGGTTTAGATCGGTTTTTATCCAAACCGTGAACACCCCTAGTCCTCATTATATACCAAGAGTACCAACGTTATGATTCTTAATTTTCAAGACCAAAATTGACTCGAACCTTTTAAACGGCAATTGCTCCTTGTGTGTCTTGAAAAAAAAGAAGGTTCATTTGCAAAATAACAGCAACAAATAATTTATGTAAAAAGGGAACAAAAGAATCATTTTATTCAAAATTAATTAGCATAAATTAATCACATTTTAAGTTATTATGTTAAAGCTTAATTTTGAATGTGACTTATTTATTTCAAATAAATTGATTTTTCTAATTGATAACAAATCAAACTTAAGTTAAATCTCAAGTAAGTCAAATAATCTCTATATATATAATATAAAGCTAAATAAAAGAAAAAGTGATGTGGCACCTCTCTTTGACCAAGGATCCTATTTATCTTTTTTCTCATTTTTTTGACTTTTATTTCTAATTTTTATTATTATTATTATTATTGTACAAAAATGAACAATTACTACTCCACTTATTCATATTATAATACTAGATAAGCGTGCCCGTGCAAGGCACGGGCATATTGTGGGGATAAAAATAGTTGTAAAGAAAGACGTGAAAAAAAAAGTGCTAAAAGAAAGAAATATTAATTAGCCCTACGTGGCCATTTTTGATTGGTTTGGTAGTATTTGAGGAGCTCTTTGAAGGAAGGAAATGACGGGAATACCCTTGGTAGTCCAAGGGAAGCCCTACGTCGTCATTTTTTATTGGTTTGGTAGTATTTGAGAGCAAAAAAAAAGTGCTAAAAGAAAGAAATATTAATTAGCCCTACGTGGCCATTTTTGAT